TAGAGTTCCTAATAGATTTCAAAAAGACAAGATTTTCTGAAAAAAAAAAAATCGTGCTGCTTGCTACAAATGATCCTATCCAAGAATGGTATGCTGAACGCCCCCCAATTCAACAAAACCATTTGGTCCAAAAATAGAAAAAAAAGGCTCCTGTGGTCTTCTAGCATTTGCCCACTTGGTATTAAACCCTAACCATTTTCCAATCTGATTCGCGGTATTTCCTGTTGAACCCTGGCGTTTCTCCAGGTTTTATAACATTGATATGCAATCATGAATCTCCTGCAATCATAGAACACTTCCATGCACTTCCTTTTACATTATTAAACTCATATCATCCAACATTAACATGAGAGGGAACTTGGGATGCAGCGAAGCCTTCAGGTTCCCTAATAATAGAGATACCACAAGATGAAACGGGAGTATAATAGATGAAAGCTTTAAGATGTGGCTACTTCTTTTCTGAACAACATGAACCTTAGATCTATGTGATTTTAGATAAAATAGACAGTTTGGCTTCCAATTTGTGTGTGTGTGTGAGAAAGAGAGAGAGAGAGAGAGAGAGAGATTCTTCTTTATGCAAGAGCCTTTTTTTTCCTTTTTTTTCTTTTTTTGAAGTTGTCTTTCTGCAAGAGCCTTTCTAGAATATAATTGGATATGTAAATCTATGTCATGAGTAGGATTGAATTCCAATAGGAAAATTGAACATAAGGGGGAGTAATGGGGGCTACATTTCATACAGAATAAGTCGAGGGCCAATATTATTGTGCAGGAGACAAAAATACCTCAAGACAATTTAGAAGGCGGTGGACATATGACTAAGATGTACAATTTTTTACTTCATTTAATCAAAATGGCAATATAGCCTTTGAAAAATATACAAAAAGACTATTTACTTCTTTGGAAAAAAATACAAAGAGGCTAGTTACTTTTGTACAAGGTCACAATGATCTAAGAAGGGTTAAGGCCTCAAAACTTTCCCTTAACCCATCTTACACCTGAGTAAAGCAGCTGAATAGTATTAAGTAGACAGCCAACTAAATCTTTGTCAAAACCTTCTATGATTATTGAACCTACTACAGTATCTCTCAGATCAGTATTCATATAGCCGACACTAAATAGTTAGAGAAAGGCTCTAATGATGTTGACAAGCAAATCCCAAATAGTCATCTGTCAGATTTCAAATCTCGAGTGGTTGTAAGAGAGTCATTATTAGAAAGTTCAAAACAGGATTCTCAAACTCATGGATATAACCCAAGCAATCTAATGTGATATCTAATGGTTTGGAGTAATTATGACCTTCTTGTAACAAAGTTAAATAGTCTCATAGCATACCATCTTTTTTTTTTAATATAAAACTGAAGTCCCTTTGGTTCTTTTATGTTTTCTTTGCCTTGACTCTACCATTGTTATCTTCTTCCTTTTTAAAATAGCTCTACCAAAATTATCTCTAGAAAATTTAAGAAAGTTCAATTTATGGAGATGCCAATTCGAATGCCCATCCAGCCCCATATCCAGAACCAAGCTAGAGTCCATATTTTCAGACCTTGATTTGTTAAGACAGAAGACAACTCGGAGCTGTACGTAAGGTGCTTTTACTTTTTCTACCATATTCTGATTATAGAAACAAGGGTTCCGTTATATATCATAAATTTTTTACATCAAGGACAGCCATCCAAAGGAAACAAACAAGTGAAAGTCAAAAACCCATTTATACTCACAAAAGATAACACCCCAAATTGCTATCCCCAACATGGGAAAAAGAAACCTTTAAGAAAGAGAAACAACCCAAAAGAAAGAGAAACAGACCAAATTGATATCCCCAACATAGGAAAGAGAAACCATCAAGAAACAGAGAGTTGTGTTCTAGTCTTCTGCATAAGCAGGCCAAAATATCCATCAAATGAAAATACCAATCAGGTGGCCTCGGCAAAGGGAAGATGTACCTTTCCAAACACCTGACGTAGAAAGCTACTTCCACACTTTGAATCCTGGCTGCTAACAGCAAAATCTGCAACCTCATTAGTCTCCAAAGGGTCTTCCCGCCTCTCCTGAACATCCCTGATTTCTGTTAACTCAACCAACTTCCTTGGGAAGTCCAAATTCTCAATCACTCTCTCACCAAAAGGAATAGGTGCTTGCAACCTGAAACACACCATAACAAACAAACAGTTTAAGCCCCCCCTCCTAACTCAATACATTAACCACTTCAGTAGGATAAGACTATTATCAAATTCTCCATTCAATAGTTCCAATGCTCGAGTCTTATTTTGGGAATTATCAGAAGACTCTAACATAAAAATAAAAACCCAAAGTACACACTTCAGTCAACCCCCAAACCAAAAATGCACACAACCCTCCCCCCTCCCCTAATGGTTTTCTACTTCAAAAGGTTATAGAGCTTTCTATCTCCAAAAAAAAAAAGAGAGAGACTAGAACCTTATGCAACGGAACTCGTTATAGCCTGTGCTTCTCCTGTGGTAGTGCTGCTTCTTATCGCTGCCTGACCCACGTGAAGATTTTCCCTTGCCATGCTTGTTCTTGTTGTGGTCCTTCTTCTTGGGCTTAGCCCTTTGATGGTTCCTCACAGTGTGTGAGAGAGAAGTGGGGGTGGGTTCATACACATCAGGTGCCCATTTAACAGCTAGTTTCAGTTTGGGGGAGATCCCCTGCTGCTCTCTACCTCCTTTCATGGCAGATACGAGCTTGAAGTCGGTCTGAAAGAGCTCAGAAAAGGCAAACAAGATTCAGGAACAGGAACTCCATTTCTACGGTAAGTGAAGAGGCAATTCATTACCATGTCATATTCAATGAGACGAGGGACTTGTTACATTCAATTCTTGCTCATGCCATGGTTCAAGAAAAAGGCAGTGCCAACATGACATATAGTTCTTAGGTTAAAGCAAGTGTGGTGGATTAGTCATCTAACAATAAATCTATGGGTATGGAAAGGGTTGCTAATGCCCCTTATGAAATAAATAGTGCAAAAGGCATGAAAAAGGAACTCATCTAATACACTCCAAACAAGGGGCCATAGAAGCGATTTAGTTCACAAAATTTAAAAGACTCACACAGCAAATAAGGAAAAACTTCATGTAAGGTGTCAACCTTAAGCTACTATAGAAATAAGGTGCAACTCAAAAATCCACCTGAAAAGATTGTTCAATGTTGAAAAACCCTTTGATTGATCCTCTTGGCCTCGAGATGTTTGGATATGAAACAGAAAAGGATATCAAGTCCCAAAATTAGTGCATCTATGTTATTCATTACAAAAAAATTAAGCATCGATATTTGTGCTTGGTATGTGCATCATTTTCAGTGCTTTAGCTTTCATTTTAGGTCATCTTAAGAGGTTTTGGTAACAAAATTGCATCTTCTAGCAAGATTTAGAGGTGCGCCTTACTTTGATTGTTTAAAGTCGACACCTTATATAAAACACACCCAGAAAATAATGGTTGAACAGCATTGTGAAAAACTATAGAAGAGATTTGATTCACAAATTTTACACGCATCACTAGGCATATACCAGCTATGCCCCTCATTAAGACAAGGCCGCATAGACATCATACCATTTTCCAGAAGAGGACAAGCTAGAGTGCTGGGCAAGATACAGAACAGAAAAAAAAATACATAACAAAAACACAACACTACAAAGCTATCAGGTTAATCTTTAATCAAGTAGGTTTGCAAAAAATATTTAATCAAGAAGTTTTGCAAATAATAAATAGGCATACTGGCCATGAGAAACATACAGGCAACGAGCTTGATCGAGCAGAATATGAAAGTGAAGTTTCACCAGGATGAGACGGGCCCTGCATCCCATCCTTTTTATTGACTTGTATAGGAGAAAGAAGCAACATCTGCGAACAGGGAAATGTTGCACATTTGTTCAAGCCCTTCCTTATCATTGAAGTAGATTCGACAATCTGGCCTGCTTCAGTCTGCGGGACTTGTCCAACCTCATTGGTAGTGCCATCCAGATGCTTTGTCTTATCATGATGCATAATTTCATTATCTAGCTGGGATAACTCTGTTGGTTCTTGAAATCCATTACAATCTAATCCAAGACCTTCAAGATCTTGATTGACTAGGCCCTTATCAAGTGGAAATCTAAGCTCTTCAGTCAGCAAATTGCTGTTCCCTGTAACTATATTATATTCTTCATGATGTTCTAGTTCAGCTGATTCTCCGATAGATTCCGCATCTAGCTTTTGTCCCATGTGTAAGCTCGTCAAGTCACAAGCAAGACGACTCAAATCCAAATTAAATTCAAAATCCTTAGGAGCAGTTTCAATGCAAGAAGATAAAGTGTCCATTTAATAATATCCTGGTTGCCACATAAAAAGAATTTAAGGAACTTCAAAATTAGTAAATGTCAGTTCCATGTGACAAGCTAGAAGTCTGGCCACCGAAGGAAAAAGGATTGTTCAAAATATAATTATAAAAGGATTGCTCAAAATATAATTATAAAAGGCACCTAATGTAAGAAATATACATGAATACTTAAGTTTAGAAGGCTGCTATCATCAATAATACAGTTTATTAAAAAGGGTGATCAAACTACTGAAGCCATCACTACATTTGCAAAATCCGATGCCAAAAGTGTATGGTAGCTAGGATATGTAGCCAACAACAGGAAGTGATAGAGATTAAGAAGGAAAGGTAAGGTACAGTTAAAAGAATCATCACATGAAAATATGCCAAAATTATTCCTCGCCCATATAATATATATTGTGCTCATGATAATAATAATGAATACATGATGGATACCAGGAAAAAGGAACAAAATAAAAATACAAAACCTTGCTAAAGACTTAGCTTTCAAAAATCTTCAAATGTTCTTTCAGAACTCCACAGTGAGCATGAATAAGCAGGCAGTATAAAAAGGGTACGGAGCGATCTTATACTTCAGAAGAATAATAGTTCCTACAAGTATAGAAGTTAACCAGAGATGCATGTGGCACACACATGTGCCAATCCTGTGCCTGTGCATGCACGGCAAGTTCACATGCATGTAAGCAAAGGCAAAGGCGCACACACAAGGGCACATTATGCATTTACAAGTTATATATAATATATATGTTAGATAGCACATCAAAATCCAATAGATGTAATACAAACTCAGAGCATCAGTAACATAACTCAAAAGGTTGTAGATTGATAAAAATCCTTCCAAACCTGGGAATCAAAAGACCTTCACAAAGACAGGTGTTAAAAGAAGTAATATTGGACCACAATAAACCTTACCAAACAACAATCTGACGAACAGCAACCCAATTCTGGGTCAACCAGAATGACAAGAAGATCATATAATGCCCTTCAGTTATAGGCTACCAGTATTTTCATTAAATCCAATAACCATATCAGTAGGGTAGTGTTCTTTAAAAAATATATTCCTTTTTTATTAGCTACACGTTCTAAACATGTTGGGGTTCATGATTCACTGACAGCCACACCCCTACCCCCCCCCCCCCCCCCCACACACACACGGTGCATTCACACACATGGGCTAACAATATTATATTCTATAACCATATCATCAGGGCAATATTCTTTTTTGATTAGTTACACTTTGTAAATATATTTGGGCTTCCTGATTCCAGTGACAGAGAAGTTCAATCTGCAACACACACACACATGGAATGCACGCACACGCATGTGAACACACACACAATGCAGGCACTACTAGCATTTCCCTAAATTTGAAGAAGTGAGATGTGTGGATGAGAATCACATAGTAACATGTGCGAGGTAGGTAAACCATTTTGACAAATATGCTCAATAATCACATTTACTTTTTAAATAAACTATGGCTAAAGCTCAAAGATTAGTTTTCAGAAGCTAGGGGCATAAGTCACAAGCAGAATGGGAAATAACAAGCAAAATGAACAAGCCTTTTGTGTACAAATACCACATCTTCTAGGCTCAAGATGACTGGAAATTTTACAGATTCCATATTTCCATGTCAATTATCCTTCAAGACATGAAGACTTCTGATATAATGTGCAGGGAAATCATTTGATCCCATAGAGAACTGCACAATGCGAACAACAGAACAGCTAAAGAACCTGGTAGACAGATAATAATGATTCCCCATGGGCATATATGCAACTGGAAAGAAATGCAGCTTCATAAGTGAGCAATTGAGCATTTCCAAGTGCCTGGTTTTTAATTTCTAAGCTAACCCCTCATAATATGATATAAACGATCCAGTTTTTATGCTATTAGTCTATGACATATTAGCAGGCATGCATACCTAACATTAGCCAGAAATCTCATTGAAGTTCACAATTCATTAGACTCGTAGTGGGTAAAACAAAATACCCCTCGATGATCCTAACTCTGAAATTGCAGAAAATAACAAAATGAGTGGGCCAAAGAAATAGCAGGTTGGATTGAAAATGTGACTGCACATAAAGGTTCTAAATCTCAATAATATACCACCACATATCATGTCATCGTACAACACAAGCTAAAAAACAAAAGAAAACCCCGAGAAGGCTTCAATAAATATGCATCATGCCTGATCAAAAAGTATAGTTTGCATAGCTCTGAAACACATTAAATTCACAGAATGTTAACATGTTGTCATCCAACCAATAGAAAAAACAAACCAAAGCAAACATTTCAGAAGCAGAAAGAGAGAAAAACCAATTCACAATTGAGACTACACAGGAGACAAATCATACGTCATCCAAAAAATAAGCACCCAAAACAATAATAACAAGAACAAGAAATAAACAATTACAACAAAACAACATTATGATTCCAAATTTAAAAAAAGTTCAAACTTAAACAGCTAAAGTGGCTTTACTTATCTGAATAAAAAATACTATGGAAATGAAGAAGGGTAAAAGAATAAGAGAACAAGTCTCGTGAAATTGGAAATGTAAATAATAATACAAGAAAATGAATAAGTAGCCTTACTTCCAAATGATTTCTGAAGTTCCCAATAATCCCGACCAATACTTAAAGACGCCTGAGACGTATTCCCAACCAATGCTAAATTCCTCCAAGATCACAGATAAAAGGGTAAAATCACCAAGAACTTAAAAGAAAAAACCACCAGTAACAATCCCCTCCCCTATCCTTCAGGGAAGAATCAGCCTCTTTGTAGACAAGATAGAGCGAGTGATATATTGCTGTTATTCCTAATCTTACCAAGAGATCTGAACTCCGAAAAATCCAACCACCACTAAAACTGAGACTCCATCTTGTTCAAACAAAGCATCAACTCAAATTACCACGCCTACTCCACTTTTCAAGTTGTTTCAGACGATGAGAACATGAACTACCATGGAACAAAGACATCAAACCCATCATCACAGCCAAGTAATCCAACCCTACGAGCACCGAAGACATTGTCGATGCTCCTAGAGTCACAAAAAAACCCTAACTTCCCAAAGAACACCCTAATCGAGCACTCAAGACCCTAATCCAATTTCAAATACCAAAGGCAATGAATCCTCAATCCAGATTGAGCTGGCTCCCGTAACACCAAACTTAGAAACAGGAATCACAATCTAGCAATCAGAAAACTTTATGCGCCACTGAAACCCTAAATTAAAGAACAAATCCCTGCCAAACTTTGCTGCGACGACATGATCAACCAGTACGGATTTAATCAGCCCATGGAGAAATGTGCGCATTAATAGTTCTTAGCAGGAATAATGGTGATAGCTTAGGGTTTCAGATAAGTCAAGGAAATCCAGGCAAACCAGAGACCAATCGAAACTTGAATTAGGGATTATTTGCAGGCAAAATGAAAGCCATCTAAAATTAGGGTTTTTTTACAGGCAATCATCGAAAGTTAGGGTTTTTTTGAGTGAAGATCGAGAATTCGGCTTAGGTGGAGCTCGAAAAATAGGGTTTCAATGAGATCTGCGATCAAAAATCTCTGAGCTTTTGAGCTAAGGCTTGGGGTTGACGATGGGTCATTATATATAACTCCTTTTTTTCCTGTTTCTTAAGGCGGTTCGTAGCCTTTAACCGACACGTGGCGGTGAAGCATGACATGTAATTAAGAAGATATTTATGTCGTCTTCTTTTTTTTTATTTTTGGCTTTTCATCGTTGACTACTTCATAAAACCGAAATCATCCAAGGAGTTACCGTCACTGTTATGTAACGGGAACGATGGTCTCATGCTTAAGGTGAACTATTTTTGGAGGAAAAATGACAGAAAAACCCTCCCTTCTAAGTAACTTTTTTATTGTAACTACTACCAAAACTAAACTTTTTTTTTTTTCAAGCAAAAAAGTCATAGTTCTTTAATTCCCTTGGTCGTTGAATGCTGTTAGTCCGGTACTTATAAGTGTAGTCCGACATATTGTTGTTATGGCATGGCAGTTATGATGCCTCATACCAGCACTTGTAAATGCAGTTTGGCAGTTTTGTCGGTTTGGCATTATGATGCCTACGTCTGGCATAAGTTGCATGTGGCTTAACAGATTTCTATTACGGTCCGGTAGTTAATATGGTATGGGTTTCGGTCCGGTAGTAATAAGTGCTGGACTGTCTTTGGTGATTGAACGTCTACGTAAGTGTGGCGCCTTCATGTACAAGCAATCGTATTTTCGTTTTTCAAACTATGACTTTTTAACTTAGGTCTTTGCTATGACAGTTACTTTTAGGGTATAAGTTAAGATAAAAAAGTTGAGTGGAAAAGTTGTAAAGAAAGTTGGATCAAAGGGGGTTTTTGTAATTTTTCGTGATACCAATTTAAAAAACAAGAAAATAAATTTGTGGCTTTTAAAATTTTAGATCTTTACATCCTTCAAATTGAGCAATTCCCAATCCATCTTAATGGAAGTGTGCTGCGACTCGGCTGAGTCCAATAGAGTCGGACACAGCCGAGTTATTATTTTGCTTTACACCTATGTTATATCGATCAATATATTTATTCCAAATAAGAAACATTTAAGTGGCTTTTTGGGTAGTGTGACCACCTCTTTACGATGGTGGTGAGGGTTCAAAATCCCCCGGATGCACCGTTTTTAATATTTTTAACCCAATAGACCTTGTGTTTTTTTAAGCATGCGGAGTTGGTGGAGGGCGGCATCCCATGAAATAGGAATACCTAACCAAAATTCTTTTTGGTGCTTAATGTTAAAACATGCGAGGTTATATAATATGAAGTAATTTTTTTGTGTTCATTTTTATTTTTTAAACTTGTTCCGTTACTTGGACTCCCCCAGTGATAACTTGTCTTGGCCCAAGTTTGAGTACTTTATCCAAGTCAAATTTTGGCAGACTCCTTCAAAGAGAGATATGATTCAAAGCACTATTTCAGAAGAAAAAAAAAAAGACTTCAGTCAAGATGATAAATTAAATTTCCGGATCAAGAAAACCCTCAATATGTGTTTCCAGCGAGATACCAACAAGCCGCCAGACCACCAAATGTTTTTCCATGCCGTTATTTTGAGTAAAACAGCCCTTGTGTTTTAAAAAGGCGCCTTTCACAACATACCCGTGATCTCGGGCGATCGTGTGAGGACCTGGAGGTGTTACCCTGAACGTTATTTGTACGTAACGCCCGCAACTTCTGGGAAAATCCATCTGGAAGCCTATGAGTCAGGCGTCCAGCACTTCGGCCAAAAGATACTGTTTTTGCGCGTAAAAAAAATGAGGCAATTCCTTTTGGATAAGGTAGAGAGTAGTTCCGAAATATACACTTATCTTTTATCGAAATGTCTAATGCGCCCTCACCCTGTCTTTCGCCATTTTAATTAAAAATAATAATTTTCTCTCTTCGCACTTCTTCTCTCCTCTCCTTCCCTACCCTTTCATTTCCTCTCTCTGCGTTTGTAGAGTCGGCCGAGTTGTTTATATTCCGCCGAGTAGTTTATGCTCCGTCGGGTTTACACGAGTTCGAACAGTTAGCGAGCTTTAGTAATCTCGAATTAGGATCTAATTCTGGAATTTTAAAAAAAAATTATAGAAATACAAGAAATATATTTATAAACATGTTTATTTATTATGTTTTTTATTAGAATAATATTATTTTGAAAAAGATTATAAAGTATTTTGGTTATAAATACATTTTTTTATATTTTTTATTTTTTAAACAAATTAAAAATATTCTTAGTCACAAACTCATTTTTTCAAATCTATTTTTTGCTGCTTTTTTAACTACAATTATTTGTGTTTTGTTAAATTTTATTTTGAATAAATGTTTCTAATTTTTTATTTTTGGGGTACTTTTTCTTTTTAATAATTTTCAGGTGCTACAATACTCGGCCCGATTTCTCAAACTCGGGTGTTGGTTGGGAGCATGGGCCAAGTAATCGGCCCGAATCAACTTTTCCAACAGTGTCTCTAACTAAGCTCAAACAATTTGAAATCTGCCTAAAATCTCAACCGCATGGGATAAGAGGGCTTCAAAGTTCAAACAGATAAAAATCGGGCAATAATCATTGCTAGAGAATTTTTTCCCACTAAATATCGAGATCCAACCGGTTTTCTCATGAGGCAGCATCGTTCTAAATGGCTCTCTGACAAAACCATAAGAACTTTCCGCATTTTTATTTTTTTCAATTTTTTTTATGTTTTAATAAGCAGATGGACGATTCGGGTCACCAATATGTTTGGGTCACCAATCTGTTTTTTAAAACATTGGTATCATCTAACGCAGGTTCACAAAAGTCCTCACTTTCTCTCTCTATTCTTTTTCACACATTCTATTGGCTAGACTATTTCGAGATGGCTGCAAAGAGCAACTGAGGTTGCTAGGCAAAATTTAAAGATAGATGATTGATGCGTAGCACTAATATGTATTATCTATGTTATATTTGTGAGAGTATACATGCACATATATTGAATGGAGAATCGAGAGAGAATACAATATTTACGTGCTTCAGGCCGAAGCCTTACACCCACATATCCAAAGCCCAACCCCACCTGGCTGTTGAAACCTTATGTCCAAAGCCCAACCCCAACTGGCTGTTGAAACCTTATGTCCACGGATCCAAAGGGCTACATCTTCACTATTTTGGATGAATGTTTACATTAATAAGTAATTCTATTTTGGATGAATATTTATATTAATGAGTAACTCTATATAGATAGGAGAATCACACAATTACAGGAGATAGGAGAATCACACAATTACAGTAGATAAATATGGTATGATTATTGGAGATAGAGGTAAATAATAGAAGACCTTATCACCAAACTAATTTGATGACGAAGTAACTTTGATCTTTTATTATCTATACCTAAACTTATCAAGAGATATATACCTATACATCCATAATGATGTATATCAATAAGAACGCCAGATATCCATATCGTAACACTCCCCTCAAACCCAGATGATTTGGGTCAAAGCATCTTGAGTTTGACGCAAAGCATCTGGAGTTTGAGTTTGACGCAAAGCATCTGGAGTTTGACCAATACTAAGTTGCCAAAAAAAACAAGTAGTGATCAAATCCATGATAAATTTCACGGGTTATCATGGTCTTCCAAGAAAGAAGATTTCTTGGGCCAAGAAACAACATTTCTTGGGATCTTTACTTTTTTTCTAGGTACTTTCTCTATCTGGGGAACATTTCTTGGGCACTCTACGTTCTTCTAGAGACTTTATCTCTTTAAGGTTTTCTTCTCTGAAGATCTTCTCTCTCAGAGGCTTCTTTTCTTTCTAGAGGCTTTTTCGCTCTAAAAGAAAATGATATTTCTTTTTCTCTCCTTCAGAAGATTCGGGATCAAGTAACGAAAAACTCGACGACATGACACAAGATGGAGCAATAGAAAACTCCATCATCAAACATGATCAAGTAACGAAAAACTTGATCATCAACCAGAATTGAGAAATTCGATCATCAAACTGAAATTGAAACTGGAATCTTGAAACCAAAAAGTTGTCAAAGAAACTTCCACTGCTCTCACTGGCATTGGCATGCTTGAATAGTCTGCAAGAGGGAAGAGATATAATCTGGAACACTTGATCGAAAGACCACTAAAAGTGTACCATGTTAGAATTTGTATGTTAGAATTCGTAGGAGCATACATACACAGACATTGAATGGAGAATGGAGAATGGAGAATGGAGAATGGAGAGAGAACATAACATTTACGTGCATGGAAGCATACATGCACAAAATGTAGAATTGAAAGAGAATTGCATACATGCACAGAATGGAGAGAATGGAGAGAGAACCGTATACATGCATAAAATGGAGAGAATGGAGAGAGAACCGCATACATGCATAAAATGGAGCGAGAACTGCTTCAGGTCGAAGCCTTACATCCACAGATCCAAAGCCCAACCAGCTAAGCTACATCTTTACTATTTTGGATGAATATTTACATCAATACCTATATATATATATATATATAACAATCACACAATTACATGAGATAAATATAATATGATTCTTGGAGATAGAGATAAATAGTAGGATCTCTTATCACCAAACTAACTTAATGAGTACTTAGTATCGTATGTTCTATATACTTAATCTTATCAAGAGATATATACCTATACATCCATAATGATGTATATCAATATGAATCTGAGATATCCATATCCTAACAATCTATACTACATTATTAAGTCACAGGAGTAAACACCTGTCGTGAGAAAATCAATACTATATTATTAAGCTGCAGTTAAGGAGTAAACATCTGTCGCGAGAATAAAGAGAAACCTACCTTCGACACATGTCTTGAGAATAAAGAGGGACCACCTTCAGAGATAATGTAGGGCACATGACTTTCAATAAAAAGAGTTTATGGTGAGAATTTATGATATATTTGTATTTCATAAACATAAAAAATCTTATTTTCTTAAAAAAGAAAAAGATGTGATTTGCCTCCCTTTACTTGATTTATTTCTATCTTACGTCTCTATTTGTAGAGAAACTAGAGGGAGGTTATCCAATAGGGAAAGAGAGATCACGATAACCACAAATTTTAGGATGTC